ATGAAGCCATGGTTTTTGTTTGTGTAGTACGTAGTATAATATAATACGAAACAACAATGCCTTACCATTAAATTAAGCAACGGGTCACTAAGTAACCAATCACTTTTACATTTACTCATAATTTTTACTACGTACTATAGTAAACAAACGCACTTGAGTTGCCAGCTGTTTCCAGCAGTGTTTGAAGAATCTTGAACGAAACTGTGCCTGTACCGGTTCCAGGGTGTATCTGTACCTACGCCAGTGTTGGTCAAGTCTGGTCTTCAATGAGCTCACACTCTGTGCCATCACATTGTTCTCTGGCAAATTTGTTCCAAGAGTTCACAACTCTCATTCTAAAAAGTTTACCCTGACAGTTTTCTGAACGTGTGGGTTCTTCAACCTTCAAGCTATGACCTATAGTGGGGCGGGCATCAGATTGGCGCTTGGCAACTTGTAGTCTCTGAGCGCCTCATATATCCTGTACAGGCAACTACTGTATCTTCATAGTGGCAGCCCTCGTTGAAATTGAGCTGCCAATTCATTAATATAATTTCTTCATTATTTAACCAAATATACAAACATTTGGAAACTTTTCATGATCTTAAATAACAATGAAGCTTTTTATTATAAAAAATTCTACATTTGGATTGTTTAATATTTATCCTGACAGTGATAGTCAAAAATAGATCCACCAATCACAATCCCTGTTACATACAGCCTCCCTTCACCAAGTATTGCCAGGTATAATTGCGAGTACAGTAAGAGAGCCAGGGTGGGGGTCGATGTGTTAATAGTAATGATTACCATTACTAATGAAGGTGCTACTGTAATATTAGTAAAAAACAATGGAGGGGCTTGAAATATATAGATACTGTTTCATACATAATTATAATCTACAGTCTACCCATAGAGAAATATAAGAAAGCTATGTCAGTGTACAGACAAATAAAGTTCAGAGATTTTATGTAACTGGGAGATGCTTTCAACAATGACAATAAAAAACTCTAATTCAACTATGAAGGGTTTTATATGGATAGGTATGGTGTAGCCCACAGAACTGTAATTCTGGGAAGCACGAGTCTTTTTATAAAAAATAAGAAGACTGCAATAATTCAAGGAAGAAAAATTATATGTAAAAAGGTCCAACAGTACTGTAATAATAAGCACCCATGGATAATATTCAATATGGGAAGAATGAGAACAACTATCAATCAGATAAAGGAGAGTGTGGGTTGATATAAAACGAGATCAAAATTTAGGCCAGAAAATTGTAAGAAGGAAGATTAATTCTGTGGGATGAAATGGATGAAGTAATTATAGACTATGCCTTAACTTAATTGGAATCTGTTAAATGGTGGAGATTTTGTCCACGCTACTCTGCTCAATGCAAAAAAAGGCTTTATAGCACAGTATGAAGGTTTGATTTAGTATGTTTTGGCTAGTAACTTCCCCCCTCTTTTAACTTCAGTCTCCGAACTGGCACTCTTAGCTGTTACAAACTGAATAGTTTTTGGTTTAACATAAAAAATCTAATGAATCAAATAAATAAATAAATAAATAAATATTTCTACGTATATAATGTACCGAGGGTCCTCGCTAGACGATGTATCGGTGTATTGTACGCCATTTCACATACTGTATACATCGTTAACAAATATAGGAAAAAATTTGCATTAAACGTTAAATGTTTCTCATATACAGTATTTCGTCTGCATCATCCACTGTTTTATACCAAGTCTGTGTGTACCCAAATAAGATGTATAAACAGTGTTAAAAACATCTAATATAAAGTAAAAATAACCATAATAAGTAATAAAAGTGCCCTACAAGTGTTAAGTTTCTACCACACCAAAATACGTAAGTCTCCTCTCACATGACTAAGCGTGAATGTCATTGTTGTGTGTCACGTTACCACACAATTTGTGGAAAAGTCATTTAAATGTGCTAGTGTGCCATATGAATAAGGAAACTACTGTATACTGTACTGTACTATACAGAAATATAAAGATATAAGACAAGAAAACAATAAGAGTGTAGGGATATATTACCTGTGAGAGAATATCAAGTCTAGAAATCACCATAACACACAGGCGCTTGTTAGCTGTGAGAAGGATATGCACGTGCCACTGTTACCTAAGAAATCATAACAGATGTGGAAATGTCATATCAATACTCATATGTGACTTAGAAATAAAGAAAATAAATAATAAAACAATAAACATTACAAATGGGGCGTGAATTCTTTGTGGGGAGAGGTAGGGTGGTAAGAGGCTGGAGGACAGAGACAACTTGCTCCCTCAGTTCCCTCAAAGCTGTGACCCCTTTAATGAACATATGCACATTCACATTTACTGTAAAAAAAAAAAAAAAAAACCTGGAAAAAATCCCACACTAAACCCGAAATGCCTTATTGCATCGTTTTAAATTCCCAGCGACTTTACTAACGTATAGCAAACAGCTGATTTGCCCGTACCATCCATCACCATGCTCAATTAATACATGGCAAATCATAAAATACAACAATACATATTTTATGTAAAAAAAAATAGCTCCTTCCACACTCAAACCATCCTCTGGGCAATTTAACACAATTCAGCCGGGCAGTCACCCAGTTGATTCAGAGACGTGCGGCTGCTACCGCGCTGCGCTGTGTATGCCATAACATCACATCAGAGGAGAGTCAAGGAGCACAGCTTGGCTCGCGACACAGCTACAGTCCACTACCTCCACAAATACGTTCACTTCACACACATACAAATCCACGCTCTACATTTTTCTTATTTTATAGTTTTAAATTACATTTTCTTTATTTCTAAGTCACATTAGAGTATTATAATTATTATTCCACAACTTTTATAGTTTCATTACATGTAACAAAGGCAACATGCCATCTCACAGGTCACCTCATCACCAGTTGTTTCCTTACCCAGTGAGTCAAGCCTCGCTAAACCGATTTTTGACCTAACGTTAAGTGAGAAAGAGTGTCAATGGGTTTTGTTCCCCTAAACCAAATTAACGTTAAGTGAATTAACGCTAAATGAGGGATACCTGTGTGTGTGTGTGTGTGTGTGTGTGTACACAGAGGTTGTACTTAAAAAATCTGAAAATCAGTTATCCAAAACTTTAAAAATCTGGAGAAAATCCGAGAGGTGGCATTTTTTACACTCGCATTTTAAATTTACTGCTACTTCTTTGACCCACTGAGTAGTGGCATTGTTGCACACACTGCTGAGTGCAGAGGTAAATAAACAAAGCTACCTTTACTGAGCATGTATTAATGGTACAGTATTATATTGCCCTCGCTAAAACCCAATTACTGCATATCTTCAAAAAGTGAAGCATGCTCTAAGCAGGGCACAGAGCACAGGCACCACTCCTTAAGTATCCAGGATAAAGGAATTACTCAAGAAGCTTAATAGAGGTACCTGTACTGAAATGTATGTCGATTCGCCAGGTGTGTGAGTCGTGTGGTATAGGCACAAGTGTGTATGATTATTATTAACCTTATTTATTGTGTTACCTAGCTTAATTTCAGTTATGCATATTATATATTTGTTATACTATACAGTACAGTGAACCCTCGAAGATTCGGACCCTGTAAATCCGGATTTTGGAAGATTCGGAATTTGGGGTTCTGGGCTAAGAAGCTTCCCTAAGAAGTATTCCCAAAACAGGGTGAAAGTACTTTTAGATTTAAATTTTTTATCTTATAAAATGTCACAGACTAAAATTAACAGAATATAACTTACATAGCTGGAATCCTTGGAAGACAGCAAATAATTTGAGTATAAACAACACATATACGTAGTTTGCACAAGAGATAAAAATTATACAGTAATATGTTGCTCAAAATTATGGCTTTTTCACAGGAAAAAGTCTGTATAACTAACCCCTGTGGTCAGGGTAATATTTACTGTATTTTTTGGTGTTTTTTATATTATTATTTATTATTTTTATACCCGTACATTTAGTAAATTCGTCGGACAATCAGCTTTTTCGGACAGGTGGTCCCTCCCCCCTCCCCTTTAGTCCAGATCTTCGAGTGTTCACTGTATTTTATTTGGTGCTTAATGCAGTACAATACAGTACAGTACAGTACTGTATTAGGGTTTTTATAATGATCTTCAGTTAACTGAAAATTTCAGTTATCTAAGAGTTCTGGCTCTAAGCATTTTGAAGTGCAACCGACTGTATATATATATTACAAAACTCAATTAATTTCGTTTACTGTACCTGTAAATACATAGCTAAATAATTATAATGAATATTTAAAAAAATAATGAGTGAGGTTTTTGATGATTATACAAGTACAATAATACATAGCACCGGAAGTAGTAGATCTAGTAAAAATATTAGTATTAAGAACATTAATACTGTAGTACAATTTAACAGCCACATAAAATCCATTTAAATGCAAAATATGTAAAACAAATCTAGATTTTGTTAACTAGGATCAATATGTTCTACTTCCTAGGGGGTAGTAACCATCTACTTCAATCTAGTTTGGTCTTAAGAGGAACAAAGAAAGGCACTGCTGCATACCACATCTTACAATCTACTATCTACATGAGGTCATTGTAAAAAAAGGTTTTTCTCAAGTTTTAAACAACATAGCTATGATGAAAATTATCAATGTTATGCCAAAACTTATAATACTGAAAACATAATATACAGATGAATTGTGAGCAGGAATATGAGCTATATGAATGAAAATTTTAAGTCACTTGATTAAAAATGGAAAAGAAAGAAACTGCTAAAAATCATATCTAAAAGGTAGCCATTAAACTTTTGCCAAACAAAAGTGACCTAATAAGGTATAATAATGTTCATGATACTTGAATCTTAGAAGCTGCAACTTAGTAAAATAAGATAATAAATCTACTACACTGAACACAAAAACAAAGACAAGCATATGGATGTAGGGATCACATCAAACAGAGAGAGAATCAGGTAAGGAAGCTACATGTGAATCAAACAATGGTACACCAGGTCATGCTCAGAAGGAACCCACAACTCACATTTCCAGGACACTCTTCAATTGTTCCAACTTGCCCTTCTTTTCTTCTGTCTCTGGGTCTGCCCGCTTCTGTTCAATCTCTGCCAACAGTCCTCGAGCAATGTCTAACACCTCTTGCAACTGCTTTGGTTTCTTCAACTTTACATGTCCATCCTTGTAACCATCATACTTTGCAAACAGAGCAAAAAACCTGAATAAAAACAACAAAATAGAATGTGAGCTCTTCTCATACTGTACATAAATTCTAAGATATCTTTGGGAATTGTTGGGGGTATTTGTTTTAAATAAAAGAACATAGTGAAGAAATGAGGGACTAATCTTAAAGTCCAGCAATATATTTCAACCTGGATTGAATAGCTTATATACTATACTACCAACAGTGGTTGAAAAACCAGCCCCTGTTCAACTTGATGGTTGGAACTACTATAATGGATTAATTAGTTCAACCCACTTTTACAAAGTGGGAACTGGGCATCATATGTACTGTAGCCCTACATGTATTGCCCAGTTACTGCTCTGCAATAATGTGTTGATAATAGGATGGGCATCCAGCTGTAAAACTTGCTTTGAATCTGCATGGTTGCAACCAGGACATTAGAGCTATGTCTTTTTGCTGCCTTTTCTGGCACTTAGTCTGGTGTTTTAGAGTTCTCAGCTTTGGCCGAACCTGGCCTATACAGGTCTAGTCCATGTTTGGTTTGGGTATACAGTACTGTACATTAAATAGATATACAGTAGTACATGGGTCAGTAGGATTTTAGTTTATTCTAATGACCAGACCTGACTAGAGTTTGACCTCTGGTTGCCTTCTATGTTATCTGTCCTGGATGGGAAGATCAGGAAATAGACCAAAAACAGCATGTGACCTAATGTGTTAGGTTAGGAAATGTGAAGCACCTTCCAATGTCACTGTACCAATCATGAACCTCAGTGCCTTCAGGTCAATCACAGAGCACAACCCTTTAAAGTTGAGCTTTATTTTAACTTTATCGGTTGTCAGGCATGAAAGTATGATCTACCACACTGTGTAGCTAGTGTGTAGCTATGAATATTGTGTGTGGATTATTCAATTGTCACTTTCATGTCTAAGCCTTTTCCCTTTCCCATGGCTTGTTTGATCTGAGGATAACTGACCTAGCCAAGAACCTCTTAAGTGTGATGCTTGTCCATGCTGGCAGTACAGTACTTGCAGTATGGCATATCCCGAGCCAATATCAGCTACCAGAAAATTGTGTGTTGATACTTAATTTACTGTACTGTATACCATAAAAAAATGACTTTATATGACTATCTTACTACCGAGAAAATTACATGGCTGGGTTCTCCAGAAGGCCGGATTCTCTTAGGTCAAAGAGGCCGAGCACTCCTAGGCCCAGGTTCTCCTAAGGGCAGAGTTCACCTGATACTTTAAAAAAAAAAAAAAAAATCAATGAAAGCTAATTCTTTAAAATAACTTTACATCATGAATGTACAGTCTCGTTCAAGATTCGTCGAACACTGCTAGAGACAGCTGGCAACTCAAGGCCATTTGTTTACTATAGTAGTGAGTATAATATAATACAAAACAACAAAGCCCAACCATTAAATTAAGCAACAGGGAACTAAGTAACCAATCACCAATCGCTTTTACATTTGTTCATAATTTTTACTCCGTACTATAGTAAACAAACGGCCTTGAGTTGCCAGCTGTCTCCAGCAGTGTTCGACGAATCTTGAACGAGACTGTACATATACACTTGAGCCTCCACCTGTCTCTACTATGACTTTACCCCACAAACAAATTATATACCAAGGAAAAAATTTTCATTGTTCCCATAGACCTATTACTGTACTTCCAGAAGATGGACACTAGAAACACACTAATGGAAATTTTAGTTTCAGTGACCTAACTTCATTTATTAACATAAACATACAACAGAAACAATTCCTTCCAGCTCTTTATTTACTGCCTTTTCTGAGGACACAAGAAAATTTGAAGGTAATAATCTTAACCAGACTGACGATACATACTTTGGATGTCTTACTTCCATCTTCATTTTCTGCTTTGGAGTTCTGTCCCCATGTCTTATGACTGCCACCACACATCGCAGCTCCATCCTGAGCAATGGGTCAAACAAAACAAGAGACTAAGTGAAAAAGTTAAAAAAATGTGAAACTATACATTTCATGCCCATTAATAACAATAACACCACTGAAAGCAAAGTTACAAACATGTTGAACACTATGTGTCTAAAGCCTTTAACCATACAGAATAATCACCTACTAATCACAAAGACAAGTTTTCACAATTTGCAGCACAAATTTCTTATGGCATATAGTGCATTTGAACTTTAATTTAACAAATAAGGTAGGAACTAATCTGTTCTTTATACATAGTATCAGCACTTTCATGGGACAAGACAGGAATCCCCCAATATACAAAAGGGTTGTATTCCCAGACCCCATTCATTACATGACAAATATGTATCAAATGGTTGAACTTGTGTATTGCTATTGGTTACATTCCAGGGGAAAGAAAGCACTCACATATCAAATGGTATTATTTGGGATTATATTCAAGGGAGAGAAAATATTGGTCAACTGGGAGATTTTCATACAAAGTTTACCACTATACATCCTGTAAAAAAACACTAAAGAATAAATTCAGTGAAAATGATGAATATTACGCAATTAAACTAGAGCATAAACATGTCTATGTGAATCTTGAGCAAGTGACAGCTAAAAGTTTACATTCTTTAAAGAAAAATATGTCATAATGTGATAATTATTAATCAACCAAATGTTTGCTTTCATGTAAAGAAAAGAGGTATTGAAAAGTGACTTTCCTAAGAAATTTTTTTTTTGTTCATTAGGCATACATACACTATATCAGGGGATACCTGTATATGAACTCTTTTGAAAAGAATGACCTATCATATACGGTATTTCCTAATTATAGAAATACAGTAATATCATTCCAAGGTTTAGAAAGCAAAATGATGAAAAATAAAGGGGCACTTAACTGAAGAGAGAGTACAAACATTTAAAAAAAAAAAATAATAATTATTTTATGAAGAAAATGACTGGGTAATTAAAAGATGAAGTACCAGTTGTAAGTGTGAATGTATAGAGAAGATTATTATATGATGGATTGTATTGGTCCTGTGATTACATTCTATAACTGAGTTAGGATTGAACACCACTGTATAGCCAGCAAGTCTAGCAGGTTGAAGCCTCAAGTTTCAGGACCCTAACTTGTATGACTGGAATCTAAAAATTTAATAATTTTGAAAGATCTTCACCTTTGTACAGTATCAGATGCCTGAAGGATAATTCTTGACAGTAATATATCCTTAAAAGCCTTAAGGGGGAGAAGGCTGAAGAATTTTTGCTACAGAGCCAACTGCAGGTTTACCACCTGCAGTTTTGAGTATCCATATTATATATTTTGTACACTACTTTACCAACCAAGGTATCTAAGTCCGAATATCTACAGTTTCCAGATGATATCTACTGTAATCCAACACGACAGGAATGTTCACTGAATTAGGTTTATCGAGTGGTTATCTTGTTTGCTTCATTGTTTAATTCCTCAAATGGTCATTTATTAAATTATCATCTACCGTACCATATCAATTTACTTATTTTCATCCAACATATTACAATACTGTTTTGCAATATGGCTTCCTATTGTCCTGGCAAGTCATCACTTAATACTCTCTGGGGTAAGAGCCATATTCCTTGTACCCATCCTGCACTGAACCAGTATCATTCAAAGGTGTTTAAACTGTACAGTACTGTACTTTTATTGATAAAATATTTCAAATACCCGTACTGTATTAATGAAATGCAAATTAATTTACCAAACTAAAGGAAGGTACTGTACGGCTATCTACAATGTTATAATTTTCTTTGGTACAATGATTACAATATTTCTTTGAAAAATCAAGTGATAATATATTTTACATATTGAAGATTTTACATTTTTCTATACCAAATTTGGCCAATTTTAAGAATAGCCACTCAGTAGTGAATACCTCAAGTGGACCGTAATAAATGTACCGGTCATATCAAAATAATTGTTGAGTCACCTTTACCATATTTATGAGTATATCTTCCACTCTATGTTAAAGTGAGTGAACAAATTCAACACATTAACCAAGACAGATTTATATAGGGCGCAACAGAAGTGTATGCATCAAAATAAATTAAAGGTGTTCCAACAATGTTCAGCAGTAATGAATGTTTGAGATGGTTCAGTCAGGGAAGGTTGTTCTTGTCAATGTGACAACTGTGTGGTGACTGACCACTCATTGTCCACGAGTGAAGAGCTTGTGACCATCAATACAAAACAGCATCGGTGTACAAAAAAAAACGATGCAACTAAAGAATTCCTTTACCGCAACTAACCAAACCCACAATTATTTGTACATCAACAATATAATGATAAAAGAACCAATACTCTGTACTAATATCAAAATTATCACTCCAAGTACAGTATACAATCCAGCGTCCTTATCGCATAATATATGATACCATAAACAAATTTCCATTAAATATAAACATCGATTATAAAAAAGTAAGAGAATAATTCAGTCTGATAAAAAAGAGAGAAATGAATAAACACAAAGATGCAGGTAAGAACTTACTCTACTAGACCCCGCTCTTACAAGTATTACCTCGTGTCAAGAAGACAAAAGTTTTTCAAGACATTTTTAATGCACACATTTATAGTACAGGATCAGACATGGGCAGTAGTGGATTTAAAATTACTTAAATACGAGATCTGATAATTAAGTTCGCTAACTCGCCGCATGACTCAACAGGCAACAGCACTGTAACGAGTGTGTGGCGTGTGTGTGAACTTGATCCCTTCTCTTACTACCCCAGTTGTGTCGACGATCTCATGCGAGTCGGACGTGTGCAGTGGCAGCTATTGTATTAGAATGTTTTCTGGTTTTGTTGTGATACTGACAAATATTGATTTAGAACAAAGAACGAACATATAGGCGATTGACAGGGAAACAAAATTTTTGACTGAAGATTTGAAGATGAGAAAAGTTTGTGTGAAAATGGTGCCAAAAAATTTCAGTGACGAACAAAAACAAAGAAGAGTTGAAAATTACTCAGAACTTTTGGAAAGAAATAAGGCTGGAGATGACCTGCTTCACTGAATCATTAATGGGGATGAGTCATGGGTCTATCAATATGACCCTGCAGCAAAACGCCAGAGTGCTTAGTGGAAAACTGCAAACTCACCGCTCCCCAAAAAGTGTCTCATGTCAATATCGAAAGTGAAGACAATGTTCATCACTTTTTTCGATTCTCAGGGTGTAGTTCACAAAAAATTTGTTCCCCCAGGGCAGGATGTGAACCAGTTTTACTACCTCGACGTGCTTAAAAGACTCGGAGAAAAAGTTAGACGAAAACGCCCACAACTTTTCGCTGAAAACAAGTGGATTTTGCATCATGACAATGCCCCAGGCCCCCAACGCACACGGCATTGACTGTGCGGGAGTTTTTGACTGAGAAACAAATTATCTTACTGAAACACTCTCCTTATTCACCTGACCTGGCCCCGTGTGACTTTTTTCTATTTCCTTTACTGAAGAAACACATTAAGGGGACGCATTTTCGAGAAGTGGATGACATTCAGAGTAGCACAACGGCAGCTATAAAAGCGATTCCTCGGAATTTACGTAACTTCAACTTACTACGACCAAGGCCTGAGGATTCAACCAGTTAGATTTATTGGCGATACAGAATTGCTTGATCATGAAGTATGTTTACAAAAAGAGTGCATCTGAGTAAATTTCCTGGGAATAGATACTGAGCTTAAGTTAGCATGGCTAGCTGATGAAATAAAACATCTATAAACAAGTTATCTCCAGAGAGAAATCAGTAGAATCGTACAGAAATTATATTAAGTGAAGATTTCTTCATTGTCCCACTAGACAATATGACAAGGGCATCTAAGATACAGATTTGAAGAAAGATTTGTGTAAAGGGGCTACAACTGTTATTGTTGTTTAGAGTGTCAGATAACTGCTACATACAAGGACTCAAGGCAAAGTTAAGTTCCATCATGTGTACAGAAAAAATTGACTAACCAAAATAATGCTGGGAGGATCATGTGGATGGACAGATGTTCGTCTGCAACACCGCCAAGCACGCATCCAAGTGATTGCAACTCTATCAAACATTGAAATATACTGATACAATTCAGTCTTTCTTACAAACACTTCAAATAAAAAAATTATGCATATAATATGGTACATTTCAGAATCACGCTCTTGTGATATTTCTGTCCTATTACTGATTGCAAGTACTATGCATACTGTACTGTACTAAGGTTGAAGATATCAATATACTGTAATATACATGTTTTTAAACGCTTTCATATATGACAGGCTATTTCACTGTGTATATTCTAATTACATATGATCCAGTTAAAGGCTTGAGACTGTGTGCATATTCCTAGTTATTGAAGACTGGTTGTAGTTCATTATTTTCTTTAAAAATTCCTTTGAATTTCTGTACATGTAATATATTTTATGGGGTAAAGGGAGGCTGGGGAATGTAACTAGCTTATTTTATCTATTTCTTTTGGGGAAAATTGATTCCGTTAACGTTGTTTCTGTTAACTTGTGTTTTTCAAGAACGTAACCGCGACGTTAAACGAGGACTTACTGTAGCATGTGGTAATTCACACAGAATGATTTAAAATAACATTCCAAACATATGGAAGAAATACTGTATCTTCAAATTATAAAAGAAACAGCTACTGGGCAACCATATCATCACAAACTACACTGACATTAAAAAGGGTGAAATGTTAATAAATAAATCCAAAGGTACAATATCCAAAATCTCCACTGTCATTTACACCAAATTATATGGTAAATTTTACTTCACATAGAAACATACAAATGCAATGAGTTTAATGTTGGTCATTCCTCGGTACAGGGACAATAAAGCAAAACTACTCATGCTGCAGCACTCTAACAGAACACACTTCAAAACTCATTAGCTTTATGTACTTTGAATTCTACATGCCACATTATAACAACAAACCTCTCTATAGTAATGGAGGATTGATCATGAAATCATATTATCTAGCTGATCCCATAGCCAGGCAGCTCTCACAGTGTATGCTTACTGAGATATCTGGATCTTCTACCGGTCACCTATAATATCAGCCACAGTTCAACTGTTTACCTACATTATTTTGGGTGTACTGTACACCCTTCCCTCCCCCTCACACCCATTTTAAAATTGTTACCACAAGCAGTAATGAGCAGGATAACCTTTAAACAAATATTATTTTAAGTTGTAAGTCAAGTCATGTTTATTGGGTGTGCCTGTCCATATATAGAGTAACTTAGTCAGTGAAGTTACAGAGACATGAAGTAGTAATGGTGTTGTGTGGCAATAGGGAAGGACTTGTTTGTATATAAGACACCTGACTCAGCAACATGTGTTAGCCAAGGCTGTGGGCAGCTTCAACACTCTAGCTGCTACTATCATAGGGTGAACACATAACTTATTCAGTATGAGACCTCAACACGTAAGTTCAACTTGTACTTAAGTTTACTCAGGTAGACTGTGTCCATTGTATTGTTTATCGTTGTGACAACATGGAAATGTGGCAATTAGACATTTATGTATAATTACCTACTGTATATGTGATTTATTATTTGAAATACTAAGAATTAATTGTATTCAACAGGTTTGACCGAATTGTAACGAGCGAGTTCAACGTGACTGGTCTTAATATCCCATAATTGCTCATAAGGCGATGAAAAAAATGAAATTTGAGGCCATGACCAAACATATGGATATAACCTACATGTACTTCATAATATGGTTATCTTGTTAACATTACATCTTGAAGTCATGCAGCCAGATGAAAAATGAATTCCCAAGTATTTGAATAGTCCCACCAGTCCAACTCATTACCTCCTGCTTTGTCAAATATGTTCAGATCCTACTGCTGTTTTTCACAACTGCCATTGTTTTAGGCCTTTTTGGTAATTTAGTCTTTCTGTACTGTATATATTCACTATAAGTGTGGTTTGTCACTTTTCTTTTAACATGTAATATTTATTGTTAATAAACAGATACCAATGTTGTATTATCATAAATAAGAATAGTCAATTACAGTGCAATTACTTTTATCTGAATTCCAAATATCCAAATTTTGTCCTCTTTAGTACCATTCGGTAAAAATTCGAATTTAGTCCAACAATCTGAACGCAACTAAAGTCATTCATTCGCATGTCTGCTACAAGTGGCGCTGTAACCACGTTGTTTACAAACGTGCTGGGCATTTTGGTTGGTGGAAGGTGTTGGATCTAATTTCGTGATACAAAATAAACAGACTTTATGTGCAATAAGTAGCTCCCTCTATACTCAAACCATCCTCGGCGATGCAACACATTTTAGCAGGACAGTCACCAAGCTGAATCCGAGACATAGGTACGTACGCATGAGTGAGTGCATGCGTGCATGTGCCATGGTGTCACATTGGGGGAGGGAGCGCGAGCCGGGCGAGTGGCTAATCAGTGACTGAGTTGCAGCCCACCACTTCCACAAGTCCACACATACATTCACGTCTCACACACACGCACCTATGCTCTTAATTTTTCTTATTTTATAGTTTTATATTACATTTTCTTTATTTCTAAGCCACATTAGATTATTATAATTATTATTCCACAACTTTTATAGTTTCATTACATGTAACAAAGGCAACATGCCATCTCACAGGCCACCTCATCAACAGTTGTTTCCTTACCCAGTGAGTCAAGCCTCGCTAAACCGATTTTTGACCTAACGTAAATTATTACAAGTTCTTGTAGGCATGTCCAGGTATCTGAACCATCATTGATCCAGAAGAGTTAGATTATAAAAGGAATTGCACTTTATATAAGTAATTTCCTATGTTTCACAACAGAATTTATTTCAGGAAGGGCAAATTATCAAACTTCATAAATTAAGAAATCATAAGTCATTTAAATAAATTATAATTTATTGAAAAAATACTAAACAAAATAAATGTATTCTTGTATTTTTTAGCAATGAAAATTATACTGGTACTCTACCTGCTACAGTAAATGCATCCCCTGGGTTATGGAAGGGTTCCATTCTGAAAATCTTTCTGCAACGCAAAATTCCATAACAACACCATTTTTACCACTGACTCCCAATATATAAGCTCATGCATTTCTACGGCAATTTTTTGAGGCCCAAATAGGGTGCATCTGTCTAGGGATAGGTGGCAACCCTGGCTGGCTCTCTCGAGAGGGCAGTTCAAAACATGTCGAAGTCTTTAAACTGCTAAGAGAACATATGAGCACGGCGGTGGAGGAGACTGCAGTGGGAGCGGGTAAACAAAGTGAAAGGTTACAGGGAAATAGTGCTAGGAATAATGACAAAACTAAATTAGGTAGGGAGTTAAAACCTAAACGCGACAAAGAGAGGACTCAGAACACGACGAACTTAAATGTCTACTACGCAAACAGTATAAGTATGAGAAACAAAATGAATGAAATCAGGGCGTTGGTATGTACCGAAATAATCAATATAATAGCATTCACCGAAACACGGATAAACCTAGACTCACGTGAGTTACCTGTCGAACACCAAATTGCCGGTTACAAATTATTCCATACCGATAGGCAGATTAGGAAAGGAAGCGGAGTAGCAATCTATGTCAGAGATAATCTGAAGTGTGAAATAAATAAGGAAATAAAAACTGAGCGGAATACAGAAAAAATTTGGATAGAATTAATCGATGGTAGGGAAAAATTAATCACAGGAGTAAGATATAGACCTCCTAATCTCGATGGAGTTAATGAATGACTTATTTGGGGTGAAATGCGCAGGGCCTCCATACATAGCAAAGTCTGTATAGTAGGCGACTTTAACTTTATCCAAATAGATTGGATTGACCTTACGGGTAACTCAGAATCAGAGGATTTTCTTGAAACAATCCATGACTGTTTCCTAAGCCAACATATAACCGAACCCACCCGGGGTAATAATATACTCGATTTAATTCTGTCAAACAGAAAACCTGATTAGTAATGTCGAGGTAGGGAACGAACTTGCTAACAGCGATCACAAAGGAATAAGATTCCAATTAGAATTTCAGGGCAGCTGCAAGGAAAATTCCACTAAAGTCCCAGATTTCAGAAGGGCAAACTTTGATAGTTTGAAGAGGCAATTGAGAGAAGGGGTATCATGCTTGGGGGTGAATTACATGACCTCACATGAGGTGACATCACACAATGTGCCCACAGAGGGCAACCTCACCTTACCTGGAGACCTGACGGTTGAGGATGACCTGATAACGAGATCCGAGGTTGACGAGCTCCACAACAATTTAAATAATGAGTTACTTAATGCAAAAAGGCAGAACATACCATACAGAAAACTCAGGTCAAACAACAATGACCCTAACTGGATAAATAATTATTTAAAGAATATTATTGGACAAAGGAAGGCTATAGGTAGGAGAATAAATCGTGGTGAAGTTTACCTCCGAGATTATTATAAGGCCAGTAAGGTTAAGACTGAGATAAGAAAAGCAGAGGAATAATGAACTGAAGGTAGCAAGGGAAGCGAATTTAATCAAATTTTTATTTTGCTTTACTTTAAAATATTAATCTTGAATCAAAAAGTACAAAATATTAAGTAGACTTCTGATTTTAACAAATCATAGTTGATGTTGGTGGTAGAACGGTAACACGCATAACTTTCACCAATATGTCAAGGGTTTGAGCCTCGGCCTGGATGCATGTTACCCAAATGTATATGCCGTCAGCACCAGCACTCCAGATATTTTGCCTTACAGTGAAGAATAATTTATTTGTGTGCACAGAGAGATGGTTAAGTTAGGTTACGTTAGATACAAGTAAATATATTATCCTTCACTGTAAGGCAAAATACCTGTAGTGCTGGTGCTGATGGCATATACATTTGGGTAACATGCGGCCCAGACACATGCGAGAAGGGTGTTATCTCGGGTGACCATAACAAAACATCATAATATTATATTTCCCAGTACCCGCTTTCCTCCTACACTGACTCTGGATAGACCACCCGAACAGCTAGTAAGCTGATACGTGGCAAAAATTATAAGAAAAAATATATTTTTTCTATGCAATAAGATGAATGCAAACTTAATTTTTGCACTTAAGCATGTAGCTCCAGGTAGTATGAATCTGGATAACTGATCCAAATATGGCCTTTTCACAGTAATTTTTTAGATGAAAAAGAGTATAAATAAAAGTTAAATCATCCAAAATGTAATGTTTATGATTAATATCATATTAAAAAAATTATATAAAAAGGATGAAAAATACTGAATTTGACCTTTGAAAATCAAAACAATAGCATTAAAAAAATAATAAGCCAATGGTTTTTGGTGTTTAAAAATATATATTTTTTTTTATCAACCCTGTCATTCCAGCTCAGTGTTCAAACTGGTCACAACTATCTTAACTTCCTTACAATGTTGGTAGCTTTAATTTCATTTCCTTATTCTTTTTCTCCTTCAAGTCTATCCTTATTAGCATACAATTATTCTACCCACCATTCTCTTATTTCTGGCTTAAACACCAGTAGTACTGGTATACCTACAACGATGATCCAGAGAGCCAGAAATCCTAGTATGCAGCCTGTATTATAAGAGCCACCTGGGTTAAGGGCATATGCTAGAAAATAATATTTTTCAATTTAAAAATGTTACTGAAAGAAAAAAAGGCAATAAAAACATCTTGCAAATTAAAAAAAAAACAATCAAAGCAAAAGCATTTTGTAACAAACAACAATAACTTCGTTACCATTACAGTACATACATTTTCCCGAAAGTTGTTGGCACAATTGGCGGATCATCTAGCTGGAAAGGAATTGCCCATGGGATGTGGAAGGTGGGGGCTAATTCTCGTAGAATCATATTGCCTAGTATTTTTGCACAGTCATCATAGTATTTACTTGAATTTTTCACGAAGCTAAACCCATTAACATCGCAGACATATGATTTCCCATTTGCTCTGTTGGAGAAAAAAATCTTTATATAGCATTTTGAATACATTAAATATAAACAAATTATCAGTAATTATGAAGCAGAAAGTCCAAATTGAAAATAAAAATTTGGATATCTATAACATACTGTAGTAGTTAATGAACATACAGTAGTTACACAATATTAAAAATACCCAACAAGATATGAAGTACAGTACCCCTGTACAATAGATGTAGTAAAATATCTATTTAAAAAAAGTGCATGCATGCATCGTCTCACGACCCTCAGTATTCCCAAGCCTGAGCTCTAAAGCATTTACACAACTTACATACTTCCTAAACTCACCTATGCTTCCCCTGCCTGATCATCCTCTCCATGACTGACCATACTGAAAGGCTTAATACCTATAAATAACTAAACAAGCGAACCAAATACTTGTACTGCACTGTACTGTACTATTATAAAACTTTGCCATTTTGTGCCATTTTTGTTAGGATGTTTTACATAATGGAAGATTTCTCTAAATGTTCTTGGATAAATAAAAATGTCAGACTGGACAACAAGACTATTCATACTATAATAAATAGAACTATTAATCTATTTAATTGTAACAGTCACTTGGCAATGCAGGAAGACCCTAAGTACAATGTTCCAACAAAATAGAATTAAAAGTTATGGGGAATATATCAGTGATATGTCCGTTACCTGGAACAATTGGTGCAGAGCAATTAGGGCCAGGAATGAGAGATTTCCAGGTAACGAGACGACCCTCTCAAGCCCGGAATAATCCCCCATCCCTGAAATTTTCCTGGCACAGGGAAAATTTTCTTGGAATTTCCGAAAATTGCATATTACATCATCTCTCAAACCCCGAGAAAAGTCCCCCATCCCCGAAATTTTTCTCTGAATTTTCTAGAAAATGCCACCCTAGTAAAATCATTCCCCAACCGTATGATCAAAACCCTAAAGTTACATAATTTTCCATCTGTTTTTTTACAGAATCAGAGGCTAATGAGGTGCTGACATTAAGCATCTCAAGGTGTTGCATACAATATTAACAGTTATTTAAGAAGATTATCTGTCAACCAAAAAGTTTGGGACCAAGCGCCTGCCATAATACATTTTATAGATAAATGTGTAAAATGGATACAGTACTAATATAAACATGTGTCCAAGGAAAATATGTAATAAACAAGAGTGTGTGTGTCAGTTTGGCTATACAGTGATCCCTCAGTTAATGAACGCCTCGGTTAACGAAATTTCGGTTAACAAATTACCTTCCATAAGAATATTCAATTAGGTTAACGAAATTCTTACGAAATCATGTCAATATGTTTTCACTTGCTCACCAGCTGGAATATTAGTTTGCCAATACAGTAATCGGTTCTAGAGCTTAAATTCGTTCCCATTTGAGTAAATATCAAGAAGGTTGTGCTATTAAATATTTTTCAAAGTTTTATATTAAAATTATTAGTCATTTGAACACTTATTTAACATAATTGCAGTACAGGAAACTAGTTTTTAGTGCGCCAATCAGCCACTTCACTCACCCACCAAGGCGTCAGTTTGTATCTTTGATCAGTGGAGGTAACATGTTGCTTGTGGCTCTCTTGAACATAAACTATTTTCACGTTTTTACAGTACAATTGAGGTCTGCCTATACAGTATGCACAATATGAACTATTGGTTCTGGACACTGCAGAGGAATGGATGAATTCTGATATAAGATAGAAAATGTCACACTATATGGCATTTCCTTCATCTGTTAACTGTGGCTGAAATGACGGACATCCCAATTCTTGCATTAGTGTAAAATAACACACATTAATCTGAGGATCATAATTTTTTACTCAAGTTGGATTAGCTGGTTAAATCTTATGAATATTTTCAAGAGTAAAAATAGTAAAGAAGTGGTAACCCACCTTAACAAGTCAAATCCACACACAGTCTGTTTGAAAGCAACACACACTTTTCTTGCTATTAATTTTTCTGCATTGGATAAAATTACTGGATACCGCACTTCTTTTCCCTCACTGTCCCGTTCAACTTTCCCATCTAACGCTGGAGATTTACGGGCTTCTGCATGGGCATAGTCTGGACCGACTGTATACACCTATAAAAGACAAATTTTCACATAACAGAAGATTATAACAAATAAAAACTGTAATTTCAGACTATCATTACATGTTGGTGAAGCTTTATATAATCATAAGTGAAAATTAACACAAAGAGGCAGACTTACTTTAACATCTGTACCATCTGTTGGCATGAAATCTTCATATATATAGGAACCAGTTTTTCTTACTCTGCTTTCAGGGGAATAAACACTACTTCTGGACCCAATCTGTGTGAATGAATAAAAACAATAACAATAAAATTCAGGCAAACAACTACCATTACCCGAGGGTAATTTCAGAAAGATATTCATGTAAATTATGGTGACTGTACAAAGCAATTTATTTTTTAAATTTCTTTTTTGTTGATGAAGAAAAACTTTTTTTGAACAGTTGGAGAGAAAGGTTCAAGTACAGTAGTATAATGTTATAAAGTTTACAGGAGAAAATGTCAAAAGTGAATGTTGAAAAGGGTAAAGAAACGGTATTTGAAGGAGGAACTTTTCAGGTACAATATCACAATGAATGAAGAAGAGCTGGAGTTGTGAAGGAATTCAATTATTTAAGAGCAATGTCCAATGAGAAGAGAATGAATAAGCCTAAATAAACAATACAGTACAGTAATATACAATGAGAATTAACTATCAGAAGAGTCTATGGGTAGTGTGTGTGCAAGGAAACTGCATGCAGCACTATTCTTGTTCTGATAGTACAGATGGATGACTTGAGAAACATCATGGGAGTATGGAGAATGGAATTGACCAAATAAGGAATGAAGGTGTAAGAATAATGTGGGACGTTAGAAAATCTTCAGAGTTGAATATTTAAGAGAACAATACTCATAAGATAGTACAGGCATATGAAGTACATAGCACAGGATGATTTATGGCAGTATGTTTAATGGGATGAGGACAAGAGGATGAATGGGCTACATGATGTCATTAGGTGTTATTTCAGGAAATACCAAAATAATTATTGTAGACAATGACTAATGGACTCATTTTGTACATACTGTACATGATAGTGATAACAAGGATGTACCTGACACCTCAACTTGGTACAGTATATGCCATGGAGTGTTCAAAATCAATGTGGATGCCAAAATTCAATTTGTATAGTCTACCTTGGTCAAATATCAAACAAACATATATGAATATATCTTCTGTACATGTTGTCATAAAAAGAAAAATATAGAGCATGGGAGCCTAAAATTTTGACTGCTGAATAAATGAATTCATTCCCTTCTTTCCTAGACTGCCCATCAAATAGACATGTAATTCATTTAAACCTTTGAACAATCAGCTTGTTTGATGATCTTTTAATAATTTTATGGGTCATAGTTTTCATGGTTTTTTGTTCTAAAATAATTCATGGAGGAAAAAATTAATATTCAATGTTGTGTGAAACCTGATACTAATAAAATTACTACAGGGTATAAGAGTATCAATTGAAAGATGTTTATTTGCACTGACATTTCCAGAAGAGATTTTGCAATAAAATTGATCTTTGTTTGACTTGACACAATGTTTTTCTTGGATACAATATGGAATTCAGCCAAAATGTGTGAAACCATCTGAATTTTTTAAGTTTAAATTTCCTGCCGAGATATAGATCGTTATAACAGTACAATACGCTGCTGTCTACTGGTCAGTTTCATTTAATATTCGTTTGGTTAGTTGCTTTTTCATATTTAAGATTAAAGGTAACAAAAAAGTTGCCATACATTATAAGCTTGAATAGGTCACAATTTTTTGGGTAACTTAATTGAACAGACCTTTGCCAAATCACATATCGAGCTCAGTTTGGCTGTTGTTAGAGGCCTCAGCAGTACAACAAAATTTATGCAAAATTTAAATGACTTGCAAAGTGTTACAAATATCGTAAGTCATTTGATTGAAATCTCTTACCAGCATGAAAATATCGGTGACTGAATCAAATACTGTAGCAAAGGAGCCCAAGATGAGACTTCTAACCTTGTGTGTAACCTTAGTTGCTTCCACCCCTGTTTTTCACTATTATCCCTATTACTTCCCTCTTTTTAAGGTCTGTGTGCCCCTTGTTTACGTCCTAGTGCAGAGCTGAAGTATGACTAATTTATCCTCCCAGTAACTCAAAACAAACAAACAAACAAACACACGCACGCACGCACAATGTTTACATGTACTTATGCAATGTTGTTCTAGTATTGTATACTGGTGGAAAAGTATCATCCAGGCTGCAAAGAAAGAAAAAACTGAAAAAAGGAGAACCTAAAGAAAGAAGAAAGAAAAGAAGAAATACGATGAAAAAGGAAGAATGTTTAAAAATTTATTTTCTATCGTTTCAACACTCATGAGCTTACTAGCCATCAGGGCAGTTGGTCTTTTCTTTGTTACTTTGTTGTGAACTTTCATGTCCAGTGTCAGTACAGGAGGAAAGTAGGAAACCAGAGAACCCGGAGAAAACTTGCAATGTTTGATGAGTTTCCCACTGGATAATACCCTTCTTACATCTGTCCCAAGCTGGGGACTGAATTCAGGACACAAGAGTGAGAAATACTCACGTTAATGCTATACCTCCAACACTCCGCCAAAGACAGAAGAAGGAATTAAAGGATATGAAGAAGAATGAATGGATGGAGAAAACAAGAAAAAGAAAGTGAAAAACGAAAACCCAATGAAGAATGCAAAATTAAGGATTAAAAGGATTAATGATGGAGGAAAGATGAAAAGGACATAAAGAAAGAATAAAAAGAAGAAAGAATAGAGAAAAAGAAATATAAAAGAGAGAGAAGGAGAACCAATTATTAAAACTGTCTCATCATTAAAATATCTCACCTCTGTAATCATCTACAATACTCAAACTTTTACTCTCAATTTGTTCCTTCAGGTAATATCTCAGACATCCAGAATGCCCTACCTAAATTTGCCCTTCTTGCCTGCTTTCCAACATTGAAGACTCTTTCCCGACACTCTTCTACATTGAAACTTAACCCCTTCTACACCTATACCTGTACTTCAGTTCCTTATATACAATATACTAACACTTGAGCCTCTTTGACACACTCTTCCTCACTAGTACTTGAGCCACTTTCACACTCTTCTTCAGTAACACTTGAGCCCCTTTGACACACTCTTCCTCACTAGTACTTGAGCCCCTTTGACACACTCTTCCTCACTTGTACTTGAGCCCCTTTGACACACTCTTCCTCACTAGTACTTGAGCCCCTTTGACACACTCTTCCTCACTTGTACTTGAGCCACTTACACACTCTAGTACTCTCTTTGAAATCCCATCATCCATTACACTCTCCACAGATCTATACAGCACTAGACTTAGACCATACAGCAGTAACCTTACACCACATAGCATGAACCTTAAATTATATAGCATTTACCTTATATCATACAGCATTAACCTTACACTATATTGCACAAACCTTATACCATACAGCATTTACCTTATGCAATACAGCAATAACCTTACACCATATAGCATGAGCCCACTATGTGTACATCATTAACTTTAAATAGTTACATTTTTCCTTGTTGATTTTTTGGACAACAATACATAGCCATCATGGCAATGTTCTCAAAATACCATGGATACTGGTACCCTCAATACTGCACAGTAGCGACTGTAGCTTTTACCGACTAATAAAATCACACATATACAGTACTGTACAGTATATACAGTGTTTACAACTAGAGCAAACTTACATGTACTACGTTACCCTGAACATCACTGAACATTAATACAGAAAGTACAAAAAAGTGATCTCACAGAAAGTGATGAATAAAAACTAAGAAAACTATTAACCTTAAAAGTACAGTATATACTCTATGTTAAACATGCATAACTCAACTTGCAAAACATGCCTCAATTATGTCACTGGAAAAAAAAATATACTGTACTGTACTCTGCTTGAAAATTTATATCCCTAAGGTGCTGTTAATGTAAAATAAATACGATAAAAAATTTAAAGAAGCATTATCTTAAAAATAAAAATTACAGCAGAACTCAAATTATTGAAACAAAATATTCTTACTCAATATTTCTGATCAGTTAAAACAGTCAAATTTCAAAATACAATACTGTATCTAAATATTAATTTAGTAGCCATAATTGTGTAAGCACACAATTCAGTACACTATACCTTCATGTTTATATGCATGCACGTATACACAGACAATCATTTGCAAACATGTAGGCAAACTGTGCATTAGTCTCTATTGCAGTCAAAAAATGGCTAAAATATTTTTCTTTTAATCAAAAGACGGTAAATTACTTTTGCAAATGTAAATTCCTTATCATTAATTTTCCTCACTGAAGATATTTTTGTTATTTACAATGTATTTTGAAAACAATATGAAACAATTACAGATTTTCTCTCTCATGCAGCTTCATAAAATACTGTAATTCATATTTTGTAAATAATTTTTTTATTTGAGCTTTACTTCAAAACTTTAATTTTACTAACACTTACCATCATATGTGATGAACTGCAGCTTAATCTTATATTATTGTAAAACATAATGATGATAAAGGAAGGAAAAACACTATTTTTTATTGAGTTCTACTGTAAGAAAAATTGTTATGACACACTTACAGCTTCTCTTCTCATTAGACAGGTGGGACCGTTAGGGAATATTAGAGTTTACACCCAACTAATTCACTAGTTTCCAAACAGCAATTAAAAGTAGATCATAACAGGGTCAAATTTGGCAATACAGTACTGTTAAATGTATGATTGAGAAAGATGAGAAATGCATACAAATATATTTAAATGTATATAATTTAGAATGAGATTTTAATGCAAGTTTATAAATCAACCTCAACATTTGCTCACACAGCACTTTCTGGTTCAAATAATGTACTGTACTTCTCTGTAAACTTCCCATATGCCAGTAACAATAATTCATAAATTGCATTTCTTTTTTCCCAAAATAATACAGTTTGCTAACCTTACTAAAAAAGACTTTCTCCATGAACATACTATACTTAAGCATCTAACTACGCAACTTTTTCATTCAAGAAAGAAATCTCTACACGTAACAGTACAGTACATCTATTTCTCCTATTTAAATCTTGAAAAAGTCAATCATTCTAATTCAATGCAGCCTCCCCTTGTAATATAGTATTCTTATGTTTCTACCCTTAAATTCAACATTATCTAATTCAAGTTTAAGGTTCATGTACGGCGGTAATTAAAAATATGTACAGTAATCCCTCACCAATCACAAGAGTTATGTTCTAGAATTCTCCCACGGTTGAAAAAAACCATGACTGGCATGGGCCATGACTGGAATGGGCCGGGTCTATTGAGATATAAGGGGTTTGGGGAAATTACTCCTGACAGACATACCTGCACAGGCAGTCCCCAATTTACAAAAAGGTTCCATTCCTGAAAAATTTCATAAATTGAATCACATTTTCCCATAGACTCTATTGCAAAAGTTGAGACAAATTCCTACAGAGGAGGAATATTCCCCAAAATGACATTTAAATCCTACGAAATATGTTTGAAATGACAATGGAGAACACGGACGTTATTCAGAAACTGCATCAAACAAGCACACAAATTCAGTTAAATATTTGTTTATTTCTTAATTTATATAACAAAATAAAGAACAGCATTGCATGCATACTGTACTGTAATTACAAATGTTCATTAAATACAGTCTACTGGTAGTTAAGAGCTGTGAGTTCTCTAAGAGCAAGTTACTGGGTTTGAAGATGTTCCAGAAGCTTTTAAAGTGTGTTGCGACATTTGCCAGAGGTAGAGAATTACTGTCTGATTTAATTGTAAAGTACAAAATATGAATATTGTTTTCACATAGCTTTTGAGATTAATATTGGTCAAAGATTCTAGGTAACTTATGCCAGATGCTGCTTGTTCTCATGTGGGAACACTCGATGCCTAATAGACTGTATGTAAGGTAGATCGTTTTTATTTAAAGTACAGTGTATACAATAAACAATCGTTCCTTTATTTTATTACTTAAGAAGTAAATCAAACATTCAGTTGAGTTTGTGTGTGGAAGCAAAATTTGACATAGCCTACTAATAGGCCTGGGGTAACATGATTGACTTAAGACCCAGGAAAGCAGAAAATCCTCAAAAGTGGTTTGGTCTTGGTCCCACAGGTACCAACCTGTACAGTACAGTAAATGTATATACCCTGTATATATTATTTTATGTTTAGTTAACCCCCTTATTATAACATAGTACTGTGAGTTATTTTTAGTTTAATTGTCAATGTAAACTTTATAAAAGTAGCTACTCAGCTTTAGTGACTGTCAAGTGTTTTCCCTCTGTTTTTGTGACTGTGAAGTGAGCAGTGTAACTTTGAAAATGTCTGGCAAGCATTTTGCTCACCATCTTTAAGGTCCAGGCAAAGGCTACACCTCCAGCCCTCACTCTTAAGACTCCCCAAAGTCTGTGTGAGACTCAGGTTGCTATCTCCACTCCACGTTAAGAGTCCCCTTAGATTTGTGATATATATGGATGTCTGACTGGCCAGGAGCCTATCCTATTGAACCTCATGTTATGAAGAAATTGATTATGATATTTCGACCTGCAAAGGGTTTACAGAAACCTAACCCTACCACAAATAGAGGCTTACCTGTATACAATATTGTACGTACTTGTAAATGTGAGGAATAAATAAAAGTAATACTAATAAATAAAATAGAAAAATCTGCATTACCACTTGGCAAGTTTAACACACTGGACACAGCGAGCAGTTGAGATCCCTCATGCCCCCCCCCCTCTGTGTGTGTGCTAACTCCAGCACACAAAGAAAGTTTATTCCTTATGTTTTCTGACCTAATAATTATTATTTATATTTTTGCAAATTCTGTATGAATGATTTTGTATGCATGTCGTAGGATAAAAAAATTTAAGAAAATTATGTATATCTACCCAAAATTATGAGTTGAAAAATAACCTTAACATACTGTAGGTCACAGCTCCCATAAAGAAATGTTTATTCCCTTTATGTTCTTTACCTTATGATAATTATCTTAATTTTCACATTCTGTATGAAAGATGGTGTGTGCATGCAACAGAGAGAAGAAAAAGAAGTTACGTATCTGCCCGAAATTAAAAGTTGATAAATAACCTTAACATAACTCTGGCATCCTTCTCTCTCTCGCATTGGTTCCGAGAACATCTCCCAGGCATTCTCGCTGGTAAAGTTTTTCTCAACTACAGAATATTACTGCAATCATGGCCCCTAAGAGGTAAAGTAGTTACAGTGCTTGTGGTGGTGAGTGAGAAAAAGGTGCATACTGTGAGAACTCTCAAAGAAAAGGTCCAGATATATTTCAGACTTACTAAGAAATGGCATATCAAACTCTGTTGATGCGTGTCGGCTACCTTAGTATAAAAAAGGGGACCCTAATACTGTATACGGGAATTTGCACTTACTCGAAGATCCCAGGAATGTAACCCTCGTGTTCTCTGAGACCCTATTGTATTCATCACAAATTTTTAATTAAATATTCATATTACTAAAAATCATAACATTACATTAAATTTTGTAAAAAAAGTTTTTCTATTATTGAAAATGTATTTTATCAATAAAGGTACAGTATATCCTTTTGAGTGATAGTGACTTAGTGGCTCATTGAAGAAGCAGGATAACTACATGCAACCACAAGGGTTGTGGCTGCCACCCCTATGCTCTGATCTTGAGTGTTAAGTTATGACTACTACCAGGACATTAGAAAGCCATACAACCTATAATATGAGGGATGAAAAAAAGCAATTGATTGAATGAGGCTACAGAAGGAAAAGGACCTTGGCATGGTATATACTGTACACCATGAATTGAACAAGACAAACCACTTGGTAGATTTCATCTTGCAAACATTCCCTCTGCTCTGAACTAGCAATTACCTGCAGTGTCAGTGGAAACTCATGCTATTTGAAACTGGATATCGTGGCTGGTAAATCAGTGTGCAAAATATAAAAAGTGGATACTCAAATTTCTGGTTGGTAAGCCCATAGTTAGTGAGGGATTACTGTATATCATCTGAAGAGGAGGAATACAACAAGTACATGAATGAATGCACTTTAAACTAACTTGCCGAGCTTGGGATAGTTCTACATAATGAGCTAGGAGTTTTAAATCTTACACATATATCACTAATAATCTTTTGTGCTGCACTTTGTGAGAAGACTAAAAGATATAACCATTTAACAATCTAGATAAATATGACATCACATGTTATATTCATAGAATTACTCTTAATACAACCTAGTAATTGCTGCTTGCAACTCTACTTAAGAGGTGCAGGAGAAGTGGCAGCACTAACAACCCAGAAACTCTTCTCTCTTTAGCCTACCTCTCCTACCCTACCTGGACACACCAAACCTTGGATGAGACCGAAGGAGCTGCTAACTTGTACCGAAGGGGTGATAAACTGCATCGAGTTGTACACACCTTCCTAAACAATCTCTGAGAGCCCCCTCCAGCAGACGTGGGGTAATAGATGTATATATTGTGGTCTTCTGCAGACACAGGCTTCTCCACAAAAGGTTTGTTAAATATTACTCCATTAACTTCCACATGATCTTCACCTTCTATCAGTTCACGTTCTGAAAATCAAACAAAATTCATTTTTAACTGAATAAAGGACACATGGTACTACACTTTAACATAGATACTGTATAGCACTAAAATGTATGATTACTTTACAGTGTATGAGCAAACAGTTTCTCAACATTATTTACACTCAAACCTCTTCCCATTATAATGCAAATGGCAGAAATTAAAGGCGAACAAAGATCTACCTGTACCCTCATTCATAATTACTGTACTGTTGTCATAAGATGTATTCTTCTTAGTTGTTCCCTTTCCATAATAAGACCCCTTGATATCTATCAGGTTTACTCAAGTCACTTCAATGCAGCAGACATTACTGACTAGGAACACATCCATCCCCATACATCACTCAAGGCCTTACACATACCATAAGTTATTCATTTACAGTACAGTACAGTATTGTATATAGATATTGAAAATACATAAAGGTAATGCACTAATTAATCAGCTTTATTTAAATGCATCTTAAGCCTCCTAAATTTGAAACAAAGAAATACAGTAAAGCAAATTATAGCAAAAACTGTACAGTATATAATAATTTAATAGCAAATAACTAAAAAGCCATGTGCTGTAATTGCTCTGCTTTAAAGTGAACCACAATTTTAATGCAGTACAGTACAATGAAACAGACATTAGAATACTGAACCATTAAAACTTCAAATGAAGAATATAAATAGTTAAACTCTAATATACAGTACAAGTCTGGATAAAAATAAAAGCCTTTGTTACAATTAATAAATAAAAATTAAACCACACTTACTGGACGGATCTTTTGAGTCTCTATCGAGGATTGCAAATCGAGGCAATTCAATTCCTTCTGTCTGTAAAGTGCTGTACACTACTCTTCTATCCTGGAATATATATAAAAAAAATTATCAGCACACACCTCAGGAACATTTTGCACTTGTGTAGTAAAATCTTTATAAAATATAAATTTTCATCTTTAAGCCCAAACTAAAGGACACTAATTTATTCAACGATACATAGTAATGCAAAAAACATGTGTAATGTGGAGTGGCATTAGAACTAACCTGAAGATCATACTGCATATCAAGGTCATTGATGATGTAAGGCTTTCTGAGATCTGTATATGCTTGAGCTTTTTCAAGGGGAAATCCCTTTGAGTGGAAACTTATTAAGCAGTCGCAAAGTGGCCATTGCTCAACTGGTTCCTGTTGAAAAAAGTAGAAAATACTGTATGAAAATTCAATGTTGTTGAAAATACTATGATTTTCTCTTTAAAACATATGAGAAAGGGGGCAATATGTTATTGAGAACTGAGGTAAGATGCTGAACAGTGGCTGAAATTAAAATGAGTTGATGAATAAGAATGAATAAACAAGACATTGAGAGTGGGTGTACTCAGTAATTATATGAATAAGTAATTTTGTGCAAGGAAGAGCAAATGAATGCAATGTAAGAGTAGCAGTGTAGCCCCTCTGTCAATCACTTCAAAAACTGTGAGTGCTCAGATAAAATTTTGGAAAGTAGCTATGAAAGTAATCTTTACCGGGTGGTCAGCTGATAGTAACAGATCAGCTGGACACTTGACTCGTGCTGCCAGTATGGTAGAGCTCACATTAAAATACTATGGCACACACATTAACTATACAATATACTGCACCTCGTCCATCATTGGCCAAGATTTTTGTTCATTTGCACCAAATTTCTTTATACTCTGTACTTGACAGAGGATGAAAATCTTAAACCTCTACATTACTTCTTAATACTTTGTAGCATATATTATTAAATCTTGTCACAACACAGCATTTAAGATGGGGAGATGCCAAGTTAGTGGATAAAGTACCGTACTGTATTTAATAATCTGCTATTGGGTGTGAGAAATGTTTTTGTTGGTTAAGTACCCCAGTGCTGATATCTGTTGACACTTGAGAGTTGATGTCTGCTAGCTTTTGTGAATCGAGATGAGAGAAATTCCCGCCTAGTCCCATGGCTGTTCCCTTAGCATTTTACCTCCCCGTTTTATTTGTCATATTTCAATGATTTGGGATATATCCAGCCGTAGAAACTGTAGTTCATTACCTAATGTGCAATGTTTGGTGCCATTTGTTTCTGTTTGCTTTATTTTTGTACAACAAAGAAATACAGCATAATTAAATCTGACGTGGAGTCCGCAAAACTACAGGAAGATCTGAACAAATTTTTTGAATGGTCTGAAAAATGGCAGATGAAAATTAATGTGGACAAATGTAAAGTACTTAGTCAAGGAGATGTAAACAGAGAAACCAGATACCAGATAAACAACGACATTATAGAGAAATCCGACTGAGAAAGATACAACAATGTGTATTTGCTCGAAACAAGGCTAACAATGTACAAGTACTTGGGTTCATACAAAGGAGTGTTAGCTACAAGACTAGCGAGGTCATCCTAAAACTATATCTTGCGCTTGTGAAACCTCACTTGGATTACGCAGTTCAGTTTTGGTCACCGTACTACAGAATGGATATAGAATCCTTGGAAAGAATTCAGAGGATAATGACAAGACTAATCCCGAGCATTAGGAACCTTGAGAACAGAGAAAGGTTAAAGCATCTTAATCTGCACTCCCCTGAGAGACGTAGAGTAAAAGGTGATCTGATCGAGGTGTATAAATGAAAGTCAGGACTAAACAATGGAGATATAACAAAGGTACTCAAACTATCCAACAAGGAGCAAACTCGTAACAATGGTTTTAAATTAGACAAATTTAGATTTAGGCGTGAGATAGGTAAACATTGGTTTGGAAATAAAGTAGTGGATGAGTGGAACAAGTTACCAAGCTTCATCATTAACTTGAATACGCTGGATAGCTTCAAACATAGGTTGGATGGATATATGAGCGATAGGGGTTGGGTGTAAATGGGACTGCCCAGTATGGGCCAATAATCCCACTGCAGTTTCTTCCATTCTTATGTTCTTATGGTTTATGATAAATTTTTTAAATTTTCTAACATCTTCTTTTAAGTGCTAATGTCTTGAAGTAATTTACATTTTGATAGTCCAGATATTTAATGAGAGACAAAGGCAGAGTAAACATGCACTGCAGAGAAGTATTCACAATGGAAGAGGAAGTGAGTGCTGATTGACCCAGAGTGCCTTAATACAAACAATGCATATGTTGCCCCAATTGGTAGAGTGACTGAGGAAAACTATCATATGCTGTGTTCAGTCAACTAGCCACACAAGTAATAACTTATAACTTTAGATAAAGTTAATTAATTTTCTTTGTTTCTTTTTAATAAAAAATTTCCTTCTTGACCATGAGCAGTATAACAAAACAGTGCTAAACAGATTAGTACAGTACAGTACTGTAATACATATGAATAAATAATGTACTACACACAATGAAGATGATGAGAGAATAAAATAAAACCACTACAGTACATTATTCATAATATGATGGCAATGAGAGAATATGACAGATGAGATGAAAAACTTTAAACAGAATATGATAGGACATGGAAAATGCTGCTAACAAAGATTTTGTAAAATCCATTAAAAAGAGCAAATACGTAGTTATTTATTTATTTATTTGTTTGTTTGTTTGTCATGTGTTACACACACTGTAATATGCAATGTCAGCAAAGGAAATGTGACACATGGGAGAAACAATACCTTTAGAATCACTTCCTCCGGGAATATCACAGTGCAGATGAATTCAAACTCCTCTAAACGGGTTAGGATTTCTTTCATGGGCTTAGAGCCAGATTTCTTCTCCATGGCACAGATCCCCACCACCACCTGCTTGACAGGTGGCATGTCAGGCTCATCCTCCAAGCCACCCAGCCGCCCGCATCCCTCCGAGGAGGAAGCTTCCCCAGCATCATTCTGTGGAGAGAAAGAATTTTTGTGACATTCTGACAGTATTATTCTGGTGGAAGATGTGGAGAGGGAACATGAAAAAAGTTGGACATATAAGAACAAAATACAGTATGGGAACAGTCACCGATGATAGAAAGGAGAAGCACAAGAATGGAAAAGATGAGAGGTTGGTGTACAGAAAAACAAAATATGCAAGTAGGAAATTAAGAGAGAAGAATTGAAGAGAAATGAGACAGCAAAAGGGAAAGGAGAGGAATGGAAAGTGTATGAGAATATGGCAAAGAAGAAAATGGGGGAGAGGAATAGGAGACTGGGAGGACTGAACAAAAACTGAAAATGAGTGGGAAATTTACCAATGACAATATACTGTATAATAGTGAGGAAAAGAGTGGCATACTATACTGTATTGGTACAGCATACACTATAAATTTGACAAACAATAAAGCATAACGAGGGAAAGATGAAAAACTAGGACAAATAAACTGGTACACACGTATTAGCAACAATGGGGGAAGAAATTATAAATATTTACCAAGTGAACAAACCCTGTAAGTAGAAATTTTGGTTATCTTAAAAAATCAGGAGCCTTAAACTGTACATTACAAACACAAAAATATTTGCATGGAGACTTTTTCCTTACACCCAAGAAAACAAATAATACTAGAACCTGTGTTATGTATTTCACTGAAACTACTTTACTGTATTGTATTACCATAATAACAAGAGAAAAATCCAGTACAGTATTGTAATGATTTTTTTTCAAGGTACAGTACTATCACTTCCCGAACATGCTTGTACTGCCATTGGTCATCATTCTTGAAATCATCAATTAAAGTCATCTTCTTTTCTAATTTATGAATTTCCCCCCAAATTATAAATGATTCAAGCCACCAAATGTATGAATAATAATAATATTGTACCTTCCAACTACCAAAATTAATGGTGTACAGTACGGTAGTATTCTTTACAAAGCACAAAAATAAACTCTGGGTCAATTACACGGCTCTAACTGTGTGTTCTTGCTGTCTTTCTATTACCCAATGAAATAGAAAAAAAGAAAGTGAAAAAAAAAATGCTTTCCCAAAGAAGAAAAAAGATAATTATACACAAACTCATCAGTTTATATGACACTACATGATAAAATTACTGTAGTCTTTCTGCAAGTGTCATCTCCAAAACAAGAGGAAAATAAACCACAATATTAAGAGACCCTGAATGTGGGAACAAGGGAAAAGAGAGAGAACAAATCAAACATCATTACTGACCATGACTAGATGGATGTCAGATTCATATTTGCCCCCATGCCAATAGTAAAGACATACAGCACAGCCCTCACCATGTAACTTGGACGTTGAATCTTTTGACCCACAACATACAAAAGCTCTAGGCTTCTGAGGATTGTTCAGGAGCATAGATCTGTTTAACTGTGAACACTGTAGTCCTTTGTGTTCTCATATTATACTACAAAATATATAAAACAATTAGGCACTTTGTGACAAATACTGCACAGGTGGCATTAACCATCTTATTCATGTAACACAGTAGGAGCAAGTCATCGAGCTTTCAGGTGACTCAGTGGGGCACAGCAGAGTGCATGAGGTAGCAATGTTTCAGATGTCATCATGCATGTACTGTATAGTGTTAGAGGCAGGTGTCTATATTACGGGAATCCAATCAAGACAACTAACCTTATATGTCTGGGTGCCAGTTACGACTGTGTGTATAGGTCAGGGTGCCAATTATGAGTTGTGTTTACGTCAGGGTGCCAGCCATGAGTTGTGTTTACGTCAGGGTGCCAGCCATGAGTTGTGTTTATGTCAGGGTTCACGCTGTGGTGCCATAGGTCAGGGTGCCAGCTAGGCAAAAAGTTTATGTCAGGTGCAACTATGAGCTTCAAGTTTATGTCAGGGTGCCAGCTATGGTAGTGTTTATGTCAGAGTTACCAGTTACGACTGTGTGTATAGGTCAGGGGTGCAGCTATAGGCTGAGTTTATGTCAGGGTGCCAGCTATGAGCATCAGGTGCAGCCACTTAGTAGTGTTTATGTCAGGGTGCCAGTTACGACTGTGTGTATAGGTCAGGGTGCCAGCCTATGAAGCTGAGTTTATGTCAGGTGCCAGCCACCATGAGTAGTGTTTATGTCAGGGTGGTGCGACTGTGTGTATAGGTCAGGGTGCCAGCTATGAGTTGTGTTTACCAGGGTGCCAGCTGAGCTGAGTTTATGTCAGGGTGCTGCCAGCCATGGAAGTAGTGTTTATGTCAGGGTGCCAGTTACGACTGTGTGTTATGAGTCAGGGTGCCAGCTATGACATTATTTCACGTCAGGGTGCCAGCCTTATGAGCTGAGTTTATGTCAGGGTGCCAGCCACTTGGTAGTATTTATGTCAGGGAATTACCAGTTACACGACTGTGTGCTTATGGGTCAAGTGCCAATTATGAGTTGTGTTTACGTCAGGGTGCCAGCTATAGAGTTGTGTTTATGTCGGTGCCAGCCATGAGTAGTGTTTATAGCAGGGTACCAACCAGAGTTGTGTTTGCGTCAGGGTGCCAGCTATGAGTCGATGTTTATTCAGGGTGCCAGCTATGAAGTGAGTGTTTATGTCAGGGTGCCAGCTATGGGTCATTGTTTATGTCAGGGGTGCCAGTATGAGCTGAGTTTATGTCAGGGGTGCCAGCCATAGGTAGTGTTTATGCCAGGAGTGCCAACTGTGCTGAGTTATGTTTATGTGCCAGGGTGCCAGCTATGAGTTGTGTTTATGTCAGGGTGCCAGCTATGAGTCGTGTTTATGTCAGGCCAGCCATGGGCCAGTGTTATGTCGGGGTGCCAGCCATGAGTTGTGTTTATAATCAGGGTGCCAGCTGAGTCGTGTTTATGTCAGGGTGCCAGCCATAGTAGTGTTTAGACAGGGTGCCAGCCATGAGTAGTGTTTATGTCAGGGTGCCAATACTTAACTGTGAGTTGAGTGCGTCAGGCGCCAGCGTTTCAGGGTGCCAGCTATAGGTTGTGTTTATGTCAGGTGCCAGCTATATGAGTGTTTATGCCAGGGTGCCAGCTATGAGTTGTGCTTTATGCAGGGTGCCAGCTATGAGTAGTGTTTACGTCAGGGTGCCAGTTACGAGTTGTGTTTACGTCAGGTGCCAACTGCCATTATGAGTTGTGTTTACGTCAGGGTGCCAGCCATGAGTTGTGTTTACGTCAGGGTGCCAACTAGAGCCAGCGTTTACGTGGTGCCAACCAGTAGATGTTTATGCCAGGGCCAGCCATGAGTAGTGTTTACGTCAGGTGCCAGCCATGAGCAGTGTACGTCAGGGTGCCAGCAGGGTGCCAGTGCCAACTATGAGTTGTGTTTATGCCAGAATTACCATTATGAGTTGCCGTTTATGTCAGGGTGCCAGCATGAGTTGTGTTTATGTCAGGGTGCCACTGGGTTGTGTTATGCCAGGGTGCCAGCCATGAGTTGTGTTGTGAGTTGTGTGTTTTATGTGGGTGCCTATGAGTTGTGTTTACCAGCCAACTGTGAGTTGTGTTTATGTCAGGTGCCAGCTGTGAGTTGTGTTTACGTCAGGGTGCCAACTGTGGCCAGTTGTGTGCGTCAGGGTGCCAGCTATGAGTTGTTGTTTACGTCAGGGTGCCAGCCATGGTAGTGTTTATGCCAGGGTGCCAGCCTGAGTTGTGTTTACGTCAGGTGTGCCATGAGTTGTGCCATCAGGGTGCCAGCGTCAGGGTGCTATGAGTCGTGTTTACGTCAGGTGCCAGCTATGAGTTGTGTTTATGCCCAGGGGTGCCAGCTATGAGTTGGTTTATGTCAGGGTGCCAGCCATGAGTTGTGTTTATGTCAGGTGCCAGCCATGGTTGTGTTTATGTCAGGTGCCAGCTATGAGTTGTGTTTATGTCAGGGTGCCAGCTAGTAGTGTTTATGTCAGGTGCCAGCGAGTTGATGCTTACGCCAGGTGCGCCAGCCATGAGTTGTGTTTAGCGTCAGGGTGCCAGGTCAGGTGCCAGCCATGAGTTGTGTTTATGTCAGGGGTGTGCCAGCCAGCTATGAGTTGTGTGTTTATGCCAGGGTGCCAACTGTGAGCTATGAGTGTTTATGTCAGGTGCCAGCCATGAGTTGTGTTTATGTCAGGAATTATGCCAACTGTGAGTTGTGTTTATGTGGTGCCAGCTATGAGTTGTGTTTACGTCAGGGTGCCAGCTATGTTGTGTTTACGTCAGGGTGCCAACCGTGAGTTGTGTTGCGTCAGGTGCCAGCTGAGTTGTGTTTACGTCAGGTGCCAACTGTGAACCAGGGTGAGCTGAGTTGTGTTTACGTCAGGGTACCAGCCATGGTAGTGTTTATGTGTTTACGCTCAGGTGCCAGCCATGAGTGTGGTTACGTCAGGGTGCCAGTATGCCAGGGTTGACGTCAGGGTGCCAGCCATGAGTAGTGTTTACGTCAGGGTGCCAGCGGTATGTTTACGTCAGGGTGCTGCGCCAGTTGTGTTGCTGGGGTGCCAGCTAGCAGGTTGTGTTTGTCAGCCAGCCGCAGGTTGCGTCAGGGTGCCAGCCATGAGTCAGGGTGCCAGCTATAGGTTGTGTCAGGGTGCCAGCCATGGGCCAGGTTTAAGCGAGGCCACAGGTGCCATGAGTTGGGGTTTATGCTCAGGTGCCAGCTATGAGTTGTGTTTATGCCAGGAGTTGTGCCAGCTGTGAGTTGTGTTTATGTCAGGTGAGCCAGTTGTGTTTATGCCAGGGTGCCAGGCTGTGAGTTGCGTTACGTCAGGGTATGTCAGGGTGCCGCTGGGTGCCAGCTATGAGTGCCAGCCAGGTTTATGCCAGGTGCCATGCCATGAGTTGTGTTTACGTCGCCAGGTGCCAGCCATGAGTTGTGTTTATGCTTCAGGGTGCCGCCATGAGTTGTGCCAGTGTATGAGTCGAATTGTGTTTATGTCGTCAGGTGTTTACGTCAGGGTGCCAACTGTGAGTTGTGTTTATGTCAAGATGATGAAATTTGTGTACGTCAGCCC